GGGGGTTTCTTACTGTATGTGACTATTGTTTGTACTGTGCATTACCTGTCATGCCTTGCTTCGTTAGTGCACAACTCCTTGCAAGTAGTGAGGGTGTTGAACGCATCCCTGCAGTTTAATGTGGTCTTTCTTGTTCAGGCATCGAATGAGTAGAAACTGGAAGCCTTGAGAGCAAATGGAGGCTGTCCGAACGAAACCAGTGTGACAAACTTGCGTTTTTCTCACCTTGTTTAATTGACTGTAGATGTATGGCTCCATTTTATACAATAGTAATTAAGTTTTATAAGTATTGTTGCCTTGATGCAGGTTGGCATCAGGATCCAGAATGATTGTTGTGGTATTGGGCATCTTGAGCCAATTGGTTTTGTAGTTCCCTGTTCTGCTGCGGTTGTATTTCTCTTTCACTTTAGTAATTAATCATGCTGCTCTCCTAATAATAATAAAAATGTCTTGGCAGGACAGACAGTGCTCTGCTTTTAATGAGCTGCTCAGAGCATTTATATCTAATTGATAATGAAACAGGCTCTGACAACAATTCCCCTTCTCCAAAAAGGGGCATCACATTTCTACTTGGGCAAAAAGTGACGTTTTTAAACTTGGGATGTTGAGTACCACAGAGAAGGAAGCATGACAGGTTATGTGCAAATTTTTAGGTAGGATAAGTGAGCAAAATGTTAGAACTCTTGTGTTAATGGAGGCTTCTGAATGTATCTTTGTGGTCCATAGGGAAGGCTGAAGGATGTAGCAAGGAGATGATGTATCAGCTACTGGCAGCCTTAAAACAAAGTCAGTGTCTCTCTGGACTTTAAAATGTTCCTATGCAGTTTATTTTATTTTTGTTTAATCAAATAAATGTGAGGAGTTTTTTCATGGCAAGTTTGTGTATGTGTTTCAATGTGTGTATTATCCAGCCAGAGTCATCTCTATTGTCAGGATGCAAAGGGGAGAAAATTCTTCAGGATCTGAACCTGGCTGCTTTCAGTTAATGACACTGTTAAATGCTCAAACCGGAGGCCCTTGCTTTGAAAGAGGAGTGGAGGAGGAATGTTAGGTACTACAGAGAAAAGTGTTTCAAAAAAAAAACCAAAACAGGTAATTTTGATGCAGTGTCAAACTTGCTTGGCTTGGCTGTTCTGCTCAAAACAACTGCCTTACTCCAGTCACGGAAGCAAGTGTTTTGTTACTAAGCTCCTCACCTTTACTCCATGTATCTTTTTTTTTCCCCCCCACCCACCAACCAGTAATTTGCCAGAAAGTTCCTGTTCAACCTTGTTCAGTCCACCTGTGGAGTTCTGTTTATTCACCTTGGCCAACTGCAAGTAATGCTTTAGAAGTAACACCACACTAGCCCATTTAATAGCACATCAGACATCTTGTAGAGTGGATTACTGTGAATATCAGTTATCCTACCTGACAGGTATGTTTTAAGGAGCACCTTTTCTGCTTTACTGCTTTAGAAGAGGTGTTGAAGGGGAAGATGCTCCTCAGCGAATAAGATCTGAGAATTAAGGCTGCTGTCTACATGCCAAGTGGTGGCAGATAAACATTTCTCAAAAAATGTTGACTACGCTGGCTCTTGGGAAGAGAACTGCACCCTGGTCCTGGCTGTGTGCAACAGTGGTGGGACAGCTCAGCATCCTTGTGTGCTCACTTCATCTTCCATGGCCTGGAGCAGAGCCCTCATCCCTCCTTCCTGCTGGGTGCCATGCCTTCATAAGCTGGAAGGACAAAGGGTTGGAGACCTCCTGAGGGAGGAGGAGGGGGAAAAGGCTGCTCAGGTGAACTTCAGGACAAATGTGACCAGCTTTGCAGTAGAGAGGACTCTCTCCTTGTTCACTTGGCTTCTCTGCTTTCTCCCTAAAGAAAACTAGAACCTGGCTTTGATGCTATCTGCCTGAACTCACAGGGGCTGGTCCCTAAGCCGCCTGGGATGGTCCCGGCACTGCTTAACCCACCCCCTCTCCACCTTCTTGCCAAAGCCTTTAGTACTGAGTTTGGGGGCTGAAAGGGGCTGGGGTAGTGGCACAGGGCTACCCCCACACCTAGCAGGGTGAAAGGAAGAGAGGGGAGCCCCTGGCTCTGCCCTGGTGCAGGGGGGCGAGATCAGGGCTTGCTGGGCTCCTGGATGCCAGGGCAGGGGGCGGGCAGTGAGGAGAGGGACTGTGCCTGAGCCTGTGTAAGCACTGCTGACGCTTCTGCCTTAACACAGTACCAGCACTTGCAGTTTCATTTGCTCTTCACTTTAACATCAAAGCCTAAAAGAAACAGCAGGAAAAGACACCATTGGGATGCAACTCTATGGCAGGAAAGCACAGGGGTCCCTGAACATGCTCTTCCTATAATTTTTTTAAGTTGAAATACGAAGCAGCTCAACCAGCCACCAGCACTAACCCCTCAGGTATGCAGCAGTGTGGAGGAGCAGGGAAAAATAATCCCAAAGCAGCTGTGGGCCCTGCAGCCCTGGGGAGCAGTCTGGCAGCGAGGCGTTAGGGATGAGTGGGGCTGCTCACATGCAAATACAGCTGCGGGGAGATGTGCAGTAGCTGGGGACCAACAACTGCATCCTTGGTGGAGCCCCGAGGGCACTGTTGCCTGCCTCCTGGCAGAGCCGGGAA